TAAACTAGTGTAATAATAGTACGATCAAAATGGCGATGCTCGGTAACATCGAACAATTTAACGCAAATGATCCTACCGGATGGGAATCATACCAAGAAAGAATCGAATTCTTTTTGGCAGCTAACGGAATCACGGATGTAAATAAGAAAAAAGCGGTTTTTCTTAGTGTTTGTGGGTCATCCACATACGAAATTTTACGTTCGCTAATAGCACCGACCAAGGTGATAAACAAGTCGTATGAGGAAATAGTGACAGTGTTACAACAACATTTTACGCCGCGTACTTCGGAGATCGTCTACCGATTTCGATTCTACAGACGGGACCAACAGCCCGGGGAAACATTTTCCGTGTATTTAAAGGAATTGCGTCATTTAGCTGAAAAATGCGGGTTCGAAAACTTAGAAAACATGCTTCGTGATAGGATCGTTTGTGGAGTTCGCGACGAAAACCTACAGCGCCGTCTATTAGCTGAGGATAAAATCACGTTCCAAAAAACTCAAAATTTATGCCTCGCCCACGAGGGGGCAGCCCACAGTCTAGCAGCGATACGTGAAACATCGAATTCTTACAATTCGGTGGCAACGTCATCGACAGCTTCTGTAAACAAAGTCGGTAATTCCCACAATAACAAACAATCGCGCGGAAGTGGGTCAAGATCATCAGCTGTTAATTTTGCGGGACGTAAAAATAAATGTTTCCGCTGTGATGCTGAACATTCACCGGACACGTGCGGTTTTAAAAACGTAAATTGTCGTTTTTGTAATAAAGAGGGACATATTGAAAAAGCTTGTTTCTCAAAGAAAAGGCAAATACCAAGAAAAAATGTTCATAACATAGATGGACAATCATCGTCGGACGATGAAGTTAATAACATTCACAATCAAATGGATTTTTCAATGAATAAAATTCAGACGGATAAAATTACGGGTAAAATATTAATTAACGTTAGAATTAATGAAAAAAATGAAAGTATGGAGGTTGATTCGGGTGCCGCATTTACAGTAATGGGAAAGTCGACTTTTCAGAACATTTTTTGTAATAATCCGCCTGTTATTCGCTTTTCGAATAAAATTTTACGGGATTATCAACACAAGATCATATCGATAATAGGCGAGTGCGATGTTCTGGTGAAATATGGAAGCAAAAGTGCTATTTTGCCACTCATCATTGTTGACGCCGACAGAGCCAGTCTCTTAGGTAGAAATTGGTTTTCAGAGTTAGGTTTGTCCATCACTGGGGTAAGTCAAATTTCAAATTTTACTAACTATATCAAAGAATACCCGGAAGTGTTCAATGAAAATTTAGGACAATACAAAGGTCCACCTGTTACGTTTGACCTAGACTCTACAGTAAAACCAATCACATTAAAAGCTCGAAATATACCTTTTGCACTTAAAGACAAGGTAGATAAAGAATTAGAAAGATTAATAGAACAGGGGGTCCTCGAACCTGTAACATATCCAAAATGGTGTACTCCTATTGTTGTTGTTCCGAAAAACAAAGACGAAGTTCGTATTTGCGGTGATTACCGGAGTACTATAAATAAAGCTTTACGTGCTGACACTTATCCAGTGCCGTGCGTGCAAAATATTTTGTCTGCATTGAAGGGGGGTACAGTGTTCGCAAAACTTGACATGGCTCAAGCCTATTTACAATTAGCTGTAGATCATACTGCAGCCGAAGCACAAACCATTATTACGCACAAGGGTGCATTTCTTTGTAAAAGACTTCAATTTGGTGTCTCGGTGGCGCCACAAATTTTTCAACGTTTTATAGACACAAGACTCTCCGGTATACAAGGAATTTTACCGTATTATGACGATATTCTAATAGTAGGTGTGTCGGATACGGACTTGGAGCAGAAAGTGCGGGCAGTGCTTTCTCGTTTTCGCGAGGACGGTTTACATTTACGGAAAGACAAATGTGTATTTAAGGCCGATAAAATAACTTTTTTAGGTTTCGAAATAAGTGCGGAAGGCATTAAACCTACAAAGGACAAAGTAAGTGCTATAGTTAACGCACCTGCGCCTACAAATAAAACGGAGTTACAAGCATTTTTGGGGCTTCTAAATTTCTATCACATATTTTTGAAAGATAAAGCTTCGATAGCTGAACCACTTCACAAACTTTTGCATAAAAATGTAGCATTTCAGTGGCGTGCGGAGCAAAGCAGGGCTTTTGTGAAACTTAAGAACATTATCGCGACAGAACCGATCTTGGGACATTACGACGAAGGTAAACCTTTAATTCTTACGTGTGACGCAAGTCCTTACGGAGTGGGATGTGTGTTAGCTCAACTTGACGAATACGGGGTGGAAACTCCAGTGGCGTTTCATTCGCGAACACTCTCATCCTCTGAGAGGAACTTTGCCCAAATCGATCGCGAAGCTCTAGCAGTGATTGTCGGCATCAAAAAATTTCATACCTACGCCTATGGCAGACATGTGCTCATAAAGACTGACCATAAGCCATTACTCGGAATTTTTGGCTCAAATAAAAGTATTCCTGAAATACTTTCGCCGCGTATGTTACGTTGGACTCTTTTATTGAGTGCTTATGACTATAATATACAGTATGTCCCTGGAAAACAAATAGGAAATGCTGATGCATTAAGTCGTTTACCGCTTAAGGTAAATGCCCCCGAGGCACCTCTTTTAGACGACGTTTTGATGCTTGAAAACATCCCTGAAAAGATACTTTGTGCTAAAGAAGTTGCAGCAGAAACTAAGAAAGACCCAGTTTTGTCTAAAGTTTTACAAATGGCTTGGAAAGGTTGGCCAAAAAATAACGAGGGATTTCCCGTGGAAATCTCACCCTATTTGCAAAGAAAAAATGAAATAAGTTGCTATCAAGATTGCCTGTTATGGGGTACCCGGGTAATTATCCCACCAGGGGGGAGGAAAAGAATATTGGAAATCTTACATTCAGCACATCCCGGCATAGTTAAGATGAAAGGACTAGCTCGCTCATACGTGTGGTGGCCGAACCTGGACAAAGAAATTGAAGACTGCGTCAATTCTTGTCATGAATGTCAAGAGGCAAGAAAAATGCCAAATAAAGCACCACTGCACCCCTGGGAGTGGTCACGTGCCCCATGGACACGTTTACACGTGGACTTTGCGGGTCCCACAGACGGAAAATACTTCCTAATAGTCATCGACTCGTTTTCAAAATGGCTGGAAGTCCGACAAGTTCCCACTACATCTTCTATAGTGACTATAATGGTTCTCAGGGAATTATTTGCTACTCATGGGATACCTGATGTTTGCGTATCGGATAATGGAAGTTGTTTCACGTCGTTGGAATTTAAGGAGTTTTTAAAAAACAATGGCATTCGCCAAGCTCTTGTGGCACCTTACCATCCTAGCAGCAACGGTCAAGCTGAACGCATGGTACAAAATGTTAAAAACGCTTTGAAGAAAATGACCGGGAAAGATATTTCCCTCAAACTATCTCGCTACTTGATATCTCAACACATATCACCTCATGGAATGACGGGTAAATCTCCTGCGGAGATCTTGATGGGTCGAAAGTTAAATACACTGCTTGATAAAGTTTATCCTGATTTTTCCAAAGAAATGGTAGCCAAGCAGGAAAAACAATTGCAAAACAAACCAGTTAGATCTTTCGTAGAAGAAGACCCTGTATTTTGCAGATCTTTTGTCCCAGGCCAAAAATGGTTACCCTCTACCATTGTAGAACCAACAGGGCCATTAAGTTACAGAGTGGCCACACCCGATGGTAAAATAGTAAGAAGACATACCGATCAATTGCGAAATAGACATACGCCTTCAGTTCAGCTGGATAAACCTAGTGTACCAGAAATAGAGCCCAACGAAGAGGCTGAATCCGAGGTACTTAATCCAAGCGCCTCCATGACGCCTGAGGTTTCTCCTGTGATTGATCCTGTGGATTCTATAAGACGACCCGCACGTATTAGACACCCTCCAAGATATTTAGAAGATTTCATTCCCTAGGTATATTCAAATCCAAGGAGGAGGAGTGTTACGTATTAGCTGGAAATCTGGCAACCATGTATTTGTTTTAGCGCTTTTGACAGCAGTCATTTTCATGTCTCTTTTTTTAGTCTGTAATTGGTTGCACAGTTGTTCTGTACTTTACAGGAATTAAAGTGTGTTAATCTCGATGATTGTTTTAATTCCAGGTAAAATTAAGGTACAAGACTTTACAGTTTATAAAGTTTTTCATTTCTAGATAAGTTAGGTAAAAATAAAATTGCTAATTGATCTTAATGATTAGGTTATAATAATCGTAAATGTTTCTTTACTTGGAGCATTTATTAAAAAAATTTTTGTGGATTTAAAGGAATTGGTGGAAATAAAATAATTCATTTCTATATTTTATGAAATATTCTTTAAAACATATTTATTTATTTGTTTGTTTAAGAATCAATGTTTGAGTTTTGTGTATTTTAAATAAACATGTATATTTTTAAATGTCTTTTTTAGTCTAATAATATATTAGAAAAAAAAAACTAGAATACATTTTTGAAATATTACTATTTAATATTTCTAAAAGATTTCTAATTTTTATTTCAGAAATATTACTGTTAAATATATTTAGAGGACATTTTTACGTTTCAGGCATATGTTATAAATGTTTTTGGGATGTTTCGTAATATTTATACAACATTGAAAATGTTTCAATGTAACATTGTTGAAATATTTCCGAAATGTGTTTGTGCTGTATGGGCATACAGTCCCACAGGGCCATTATAATAAGGTATATTGTAATCGGTATAAACTTTCAAGCCTAATATATAGATACAACCCACTTTAACTGTCAAAGAATTTTTGATATAATTTTATAAAAAGCACACTTTTCCATAGAAGACGCTAGTGCTATAAAAACATTTTTCTTCGGTGTACAATTTTAAATTTAAAACACTCAAAGGAAACAGAACATATTAGCGTATACCTCTTCCACCATAACTTATCTTTCGTCACAATATTCAAAGTGAAAACAAACAAAAAACTAACCTAAATATCTAATTCCATTCTTAATCTTAACGTACTTAAAGCTATAAACGGATTATACGGCGTATCCTGAAAAAAAAAAATGACAACCCGAATGGAAAACTAACGATTCTAATAATCAGTTGCGAGAAAACCGCGTTATCTGTGACACAACTCATTCTAATAAAACAATTGCAAGTGATTCAAACATCATCGGATTCGACGATTCGAGATATATCCAGTAGACTGAAGTCGGGCGTCCCAGCAGGACAACGGACCGTCCGTTGTTTTGACTTGTTTTTTTTTTCACAGCGGCAGTGCGCGATTTTTTAAAAAATGACGGGCAATTCGGGCATGGAGAAGTTGATACCCGTTGTCAACAAATTACAGGATGCGTTTACGCAACTGGGAGTGCGTTTGACTTTGGATCTGCCTCAAATCGCCGTAGTAGGGGGGCAAAGTGCGGGAAAGAGTTCCGTTTTAGAAAATTTCGTGGGGAGGTAAATATTTTTTTTTATTTAAATTTTTGGTTAACGAAATAAGTACGGTTTTAAAATCGTAGATTGCGTAGCGCATGAGATATGTAACCTTCGGAGTTTGTTTAGTGTAACTGATTGGCAATGCAGTCTATAAATTATGATTTGGGATTTTCACTATACAGGTTGTCCTTAAAATAATGACTATTTCGTGTTGTACGTCAGTTTGGTCGTTAAATTATTATACAGGTTTAAAGTTTTACAGGTTTTATCGAAATAAGGTTTGATAAAGAATTTAATAAAAGTTTTAACTTTTGAAATAATTCGAAAATTACGAGCGGTAAATTTATACGGAATTTCGTGCACACATCTGACCGCAATCCCCGAAATTATTTTGGAAATAATTGGGAAGTCCTAAAATTCCCCGCTTTTTTGGAATGCGTTTTGAAGTCCCTGAATTCCTTGAGAACTCATGCAATTCCTTTGGAAGCGTTGGAATTCATTTGGAAGTCCCGGAATTCATTTGGAAGTACCGGAATTCATTTAGAAGTACAGGAATTCATTTGGAAGTCCCAAAATTCATTTGGAAATCCTTGAACTCCTTTGAATGCCCTGGGATTCCTTTGGAAGTCGCGGAATTCCTTTGGAAGTCGCGGAATTCCTTTGGAGGTCTCGGAATTCCTTTGACAGTCCCGGAATTCCTTTGACAGTCCCGGAATTCCTTTGACAGTCCCGGAATTCCTTTGACAGTCACGGAATTTCTTGGAAATCCCTGATTTTTTTATAAATTAACGAAATTAAAGATGAATCAATCTTAGAACATATAGAAAATGTAGATTTACCAAATTTTAAGGAAGAGCAGTCTGAATCAAACAACTAGACTAGTGTGTAATGTGGAACCCTGTGTAAAAATAATAACAACAGTATTTTGCAGTATTTCATACCAAACTGTAGCATATACAGATTTTAAAATTTGAAATTGAAACGCGGACCATACAAGCTAAACCAGCGTAAGTGGTAGTGAATGCGCAGGTACCGTGAGTGAAGCCATATAATAGGTAATTTCTTTGTTTGTTTCACGCGAGGAAGGAACTTTTAGCTATTGTCAAAGCCCTTAAACACTTCCATACTTATTTAACAAAAGTTTTATCACTAGAAGTGACCATAGCGCCTTGCAGTGGCTTTTAAAAAACCTGAAGAACAAGTTGCTAGATGAATAGAAGACTGCAACAATATAACTTCGAGAGGGCTGTATCCATAGCAACGCATGCATTCATTCCAGGCGACCCTGTTTAGAACGACAATACCGGTACTGTAAAAGGCTCTAAGAACGGAAGGATCCAGTTGAAGAAATTGGTTTTCAGGCGACCACTATCAAGCCAGAGGATGACGAAGACCGAATCACCCTTCAAAGCCTAAGAGACTCAAAAAAAAGACAATGACTTGAAGGTTGCCCGAAAATGGCTCAAAAATGGAGTCAGGCCTACATGGCAAGAGAGCCAAAATAGTGGAACTATTAAATGGTACTGGAATCTGTGGAATTCCGTTTATCTTCACGATGGCCTATTGCAAAGGAAGCGAGAGAACCCTGATGAAGTATATGTAGTACTCCAAAATCACTTGTAGAAGTGTGTCGAAGGAGCTTCATAGCAACCGTTCAGGAGGACACTTTGGTACTAAAAGGACACTGGCACGAGTACGCAAAAAACTTTTATTGGGTCAATTGCCGACGGGATGTAGAAGTTTGGTGTATGGAATGTGACCTATGTAATGGCAGAAAAGGGCCCAAAACAAGAAGCCGAGGTAAAATGGCACAGTACCTTTCCGGAGATATTTTCGAATGAATAGCCATAGATATCCTCAGACCACTTCTCTTAACAGAAAGGGGAAACACATACTTGATGGTTGTTATGGACTATTTTTCAAAGTGGACCGAAATAGCGCCTATTCCTAATAAGGAAGCGACAACTGTAGCGAAAGTATTTATGTCGAATGCCATTGCGAGACGTGGAGTTCCTCTGGAATTGCAATCTGATCAAAGACGAAATTTTGAATCTGAATTATGGCAAGAATTGATGAAATTGTTAGGCATCAGAAAAACGCACTATTCCTCTCCACCCACAGTCCGACGGAATGATAAAAAGACCTCATGCCACTATCTTTCAATGTTTGAGAACCAAAAGGACTGGGACACTTTAATTCCTCTATTTCTGCTAGCCTACCGAAGTTCTGAACATGAATCGACCAGTAATACTCCATCCATGATAATTAATGGAAGAGAGATGAATCTTCCTCATGATTTTTTTAAAGGCAGATTCCTGGTGAAGAAGAGGGCCGTACACCTCCAACGTATATATAGAACTTCAGCAGCGATAAAGCAAAAGCTCGAATCGACATGCATACCACAGGGACACATTTTGAGAGAGGCGACCCAGTGTACCTGTACAATTCCAAGCGCCGAAAAGGACTTTGTCAGAAAATGCAACAGAACTGCGAAGGCCCCTACACCGTCCTCAAGAAAATCAACGACCTGATCTACCGCATTCAGTTGTCAGCGGGAAGTAAACCCAAGGTAGTTCCCATTGAAAAGTTAGCGCCATACCGTTATCCAGATCCTCCCCGTTGGCTCCAACCAAGTCCCAGTAATCAAGTTATTCGGGACGAATAATTAGAGAAGAGGGAGCAGTGTTACCCAATTCATTGTAAAATAAGAGGGTCCACGTTCAAATTTCGGTACCTGTATTATGATCATATATTGAAATTGGAGAAAAATGGTATTTCAAAATAAAATTTTTAAAAAATAAACTATATCAATTTTATAATCCAGAGCAGACGATATAAATCTGGTTGAAAAAAAAATATTTCTGTTTTGGCATACAGAACTAAATTGGTCCAATTCCATTTATTATAATTGAACAAGACAGAAAAAACATATAATTCAAATTTAAAACTTCTATTAGATCTGTTTCTTTTTTAAATGTAGTCTTGAATATTTTTAAATTTCGAATTGCTAACCTTGAACTTTTAATGCTATCCTAGAACTTGAGATGCTGGCCTTGAACTTGAGAAGCTATCCTTGAACTTGAGATGAGAACATCGCTCTGTTATTGGCATATTTTTAAATCTGACATCAAATGAAGGAAACTAATTAAAATATAAAATGGTGCACCATGTAGAAGTTTTGTAAATCCAAACTAGATTATTTTACAAGCCTTCAAATTAAGACTTTTTTACTCACGTTTTTGGAATTATGGTTTACAAATTCCAGTGAAAGTATGTGGAAGTCCTTATAATTCCAGTGAAAGTGCGCGGAATTCCAATCGAAGTCTGTGGAATTCCAGTCGAAGCCCGTTTCAAAATATACTTTTCTTTCCTATGCACAAATCAACGAAAAACATGTCAATAATCAAAAAAACATTCTAATTTAAACTAAAATAGTAGTTTGTGCTTTGCGCACAAGTTGCTGACTATACTTTTTCTACATTTCTTAGAGCTTACAAAATGTAGATCTGTAGATTTTATTACATAGGTGTATCCAGGAGGTGGTTTTGGAGATAAAGTCTCTTCCTGTCCTATATTAAGTATTAAAAAATTTGTAAGGGAAGATTGGTTGATAGTTATAAAATGGACTGTTTGTATATTTGACAACAAGGATGCTGAATTTGTTTGTATAGGAATAAAGTGAACAAATCAATTAAGAATGCTATAAAGTTGAAAATGTTTTAAAAGTAGAAATATCAAAATGAAAAATATCTTGGATACACTACGATTAAAAATGTAGAAATTTTTCCGGATTTGATTAGGATGGTTCAGAACAAAGAATATTTTGTAATTTTTCTTACAGTTCCCGAAAAATTTACTCCAAGATGTCTCCAATAACATCTATTCGGTATCACCAACTGTCAAATCGACTGTTGAATCTGTAAACCTTGAAGACGATAAAAATCAAGATCAAGCATCAACTTCTTTTCAAGTAGGTACCTACTTTTTCTCAAAATGCACTTGATGCATCATCAAAAACTTTTAAAAACATTCTAGCTGAAGAGAAAGCTCTTTTGTCAAAAGATAGAAAACAGTACAAAGCATTTATTAAAATTTGCAATATTTGGTGATTCAGGATGTAACAAAAAGATATACAGTAAATTTTACCACTTTTGGCTAACTTGCTTACATAAAAAAATTGATAGTAAAAAAGTTACAGGGTTTTAAACTAAAAATGTTAGAAGTTATTTTTGCCCTTACCCTAAAATGGCTTAACATATTTTTATTAAAATATTCATGGGATGTTAGTTTACATTGGTCAATAAGTTGGAGTTAGTGGCATTTAAAACTGTTTTAATTCTGTAGGTTTTTAGAAGGGTTCACCTTTGATCCCTACTTTTTTAAACAATAAAAACAGGACGCTACTGTTATCCAACATCTGTTTTAAATTTATTTTTGTCTCAGTATTTGTTTGTGGAAGCCTTAATTACTAAGTTATATGTCCCAGTGAAACTGTTCACGATTTTTTTTACTAATGTACAGCATCATGAATGATGCAAAATACTAAAAAAATGGTATTATGCCTTTCAAAAGTAGCCCCGCCCGTAGACTAAGCAAAAAGCCGCCACTGGGATCCCCAGTGTTGCATATCCATCTACTTGACTTTGACAGCTCTATACAAATTTGTAATAATATATAGTTCTTTTTGTTACCACCCTGTATATGACAGTCAAATATCTCATTTTATGAATTGACAGGATATTTTTTTTAATTTCTATATAAGGTAATAAAAATTTCTATGTAAAACAGGCTCTACATTTCTTTTACTTAAAGCCTTATACTCACAAGTTAGATTTGTACAAATAAAATTTTAAATCTAATCACACTCTAATAAATTAAGTTTATTTAAAAATAATTGTGTGATTTCTTCAACCTGGAAATAAAAACAAATTTATAAAATGATAAATTAAAAATATGTTTCTGTTTTTTTAAGTAGGGATATCCATTTATAAATACCCTATATATCTACACAAATAATTTAA